TGAATTTGCATACTTCTAACACTATATATATACATGTACAGTTCCGTTCTCCTGCCCGCGGCGGGCAAGCTTATAATGTCCACTCGGAGAGAACCCAACGTGGGGTTCTCACATTTGGAGAGAACCCCACGTAGGGTTCTCCTGCCACATCAGCAGGCGAGCAGGATAAGCTTGCCCGCCGCGGGCAGGAGAACATTTTCGTATACATGTAATAGTTTTTTGAAATTATATCCATCTCTTTATCAATGTCTATTCCTTGGATTTGACATGCTCATCATTAATTATTAATTTACTTCACACTTCACCTCTATACCGCTTGTACCAATGATAACTAAGTCAAAACAATATTTTTTTGTAACTACACCTCTATTAAGTTATAACCTCCTCATAATAATAAAATTTGTTTGCTCCCAGTATTATGATTATAGAGAGGTTTTACTGTACCAACCGTTTCTTGCTTGCATTTCTTGGGAGAGCTTTACAGAGGAAAAAAATTACAGAAGAATGGAAAGTGGGACCTTTTCCAGTTCACCTTACGAAGGCTTATCTTCTTGTTCAATTTTGCCCTTCCATTTATCCATTTATCATTCTTTAGTGTTCTACTTTTATGTAGAAATTCTTGGAAAAGGTGTCAGAATTCTCTATTTTGATGTCTAGCTTCTCAAGATGGGATGTGAGTTGAGAAGGCTGATTTTTAGTCGTATAATCCTTCTAAAGAGGGATGTGAATTGAAAAGGCTGATTTTTAATCCTATAATCCTTCTAAAGAGGGTTGTCTACTACAAATACTTGATGTATACTGGAAAAGTTGAGTTTGTGGGTTTATTGAGAATTTGCAACCTGAGTGTGGTGAGCACCAAGTTTAAGTGAGTTCTGGGACCCAAGGTTTTACTTAAAAAAATGTGTCATGTGATGGAAATTTTGTAGTTAATGTTATAATAAACTAGGATGTCACTAGATAGCACTCTTCTTTCCTTTGGGCTTTCCCCCCATTCATACCAAGATAATATTGGTTTAGCAGTGTACGAATATCCATTTATTCCTCGTCAGTTTAATTTAATTCTTGAAATCACTCATAATTTTGCAGGAACTCCAATCTTTACGAGACCAGCTTGCTGCTGAACAGTCCAGATGTTTCAAACTTGAGGTAGCTGCCATTAAAATATTATGCTGATTCTCATTAATATGTCATTTCTTGGTAAATTTTGGCTGTACTAAAGGAGAAAGGATTTTGTGAGTGTATTCTGGCCAAAATGGGTAATATGCAAAGTGTAATTTATCTAGTTGTGCTTCTTGATTAGTGCACAAACCGCCACCACAAGGAGTCCTTTGGATCACTAGTCAGTTTAAATATGTGTAACAAAATAACCAAATATGTGTCACTAAGTACCAATTACTGCTAATAGAGTAAAATATCGGACTTATTCTTTCTAATAAGGTCAGCGATTCCACTTGAAGTCTCTTCATTTTCATTTTAATGTAGAGATCTAATTCCTGAGTTGTTTTCCAAACAGTTACCGGATATGCATTCACATTGCTTCATAAATGAAGGGTAGCAGATGTCATTTTAGTAATATATAATTGGTTCAATCTTTTAGGTTACAATACTAGGGTCCGTCTTTCCGAAACACTTTTATTTCACCACTATCACAATGAAGATATGATTTCCTAGTTGTCCCCCCACTAAAAATACACAATTTGCTATTGGTTGAGATGGCCATGTTATGGCGTATAAAAGGGTATAACCCGGTTCAGCTTTCTACTTCTGCCCGGCTGCTAATCCTTGCTTCTTGAACTTACAGGTTGATGTTGTAGAGATGCGACAGAAGCTACAAACAATGGAGACCTTACAAAAGGAAATTGAACTCCTCCAGCGACAAAAGGCTGCTTCTGAACAGGCTGCTCTAAGCGCAAAACAGAGGCAGAACTCCAGCGGCGTGTGGGGGTGGCTTGCTGGAACTCCTAACCA